CTCTGTGGAGGTGCTGGTTACAGTCACTTTTGGCTCAGATTTTACCTTCAGAGTCTGAGCAGGACTTTGTGCTTCCTGCACATTGGCTGAGTAAATCCTGATGGATTTCTGGGGTGATTTTAAACCATCAGAAACTGGAAGGGTTGGAGATGTTAAATTTTGAATAGATTGATTGGTGTTTTATAGAAAGTGTTCTTATATAATTGTGTAATTTGTGTTAGGCACTGGGTTGGGCCAAACACCAAATTTGGGATTAAGAAATAATTTTCTCCAGCTCCAGTTGCATGGAATGTTGCAGGAGGGTGTTGTGTGGCACAGGCAGTGTAACTGAAATCTGGCTGTGGGCATCACTCCAGGCATCTGGGTTTAGGGTTCCAAGGTTCTGTTTATCCAGATGAGGCTTCTCTGTTCATCCTGTGCCTGGGCTTTCAGGGCTTTTCTCATTTAAAGCTCCTCTTCCCAGGCTGTGGGATAAAACAGGCACAAACCTGTCTGAGAATCACAGAATTGTTTGGAAAATCCCTCTGGAAAATCGAGTCCCACCATTCCACAACAATGCCAAGTGCCACATCCACAGGGCTATTAAATCCCCCAGAGTTGGGGACTTCCCCCTGCCCTGGGCAGCTGTGCCAGGGCTGGACAGTTCTTTCCAAGAAGGAATTTTCCCAATATCCAACCTCAACCTCCCCTGGCACAACCTGAGGCTGTTTCCTCTTGTGCTGTTCCCTGGCAGAGCTTACAGCAGTTGGGACATCACAGAGAGGCTGTTGCCACCAGAATGAGGGAGGATTGTTCATGGTTCTGAGGAAGCATTAGTAGGTTTTCTGACATTTTTGTAGCTTTCTGAAGGGACAGACTAGGAGGGAATGGGGGAATACTGAGGGAAAGTGTTGCTGCTGTCTTAGTGGGAGGAAAGCGAAAACTGGTGATGACCAATGAGGGTGAAGCTGCCCTGGGGCTTGCCCTGCTTGCACTGGCTTTGCTGTTCCCCCTTTCCCAATCCTCCAGCCAGGTGTGTTCTGCCCACCTCCCTCCCCAGTGGAAGCTGCTCCTGTCCCACGGCTGGGATCTCACTGTGCTCTCTTCCCCAGAGCGTGGCCGACTCCTCCTGGATCACAGAGCTGCTCTGGACCTTCTTCGTTCCCTTCACAGTTTATCAAGTAAGGTACTACGTCTCTCTCTTCCGTTTGGGGCAGGGTTGGGGGTGGGCAGGGCTGTGGAGCCCCCCTGGCACTGAGAGCTCCCTCCCTGGGTGCCTCAGCAGGGCTGGCCTTGGCACCATCTGGGCCTGGCCGTGTCCGGCTCCTGGGCCAGCTTCTGGTGCACAGAGGGCTCCTGGTTGCTGCTGGGGAGGGACAGGAGTCTCAGGCTCTCCAGGTCAAGTTTCCAGGTGTATTTTTGAAGCTGTGCTGGCCCAGGTGTCTCTGTCCCTACAGTCCCTTGGGAATGGGGTGGTGCAGATCCGAGCCCAGGCTGGCTCAGGTGCTTGGCTGTAACCAGGGCGGTGGAAGGGACCGGGAATCAAATGTAGGGCTGGGTGTATTTCAGCAAAGGAAAGCCTTTCCCTGGCTCTATCTGCCTGAATTCTGGGTGCCCTGTTTCCTGCTTCCATGTCAATGGCCACAGATCCTCATTAAGGCCTTTCTGGGAGCTGCAGATCCCTGGTGTTACACTCGAGCTCCAGTGAGCCAGTTCTGTCCTGGATTTGGGAGCAAATGCTGGGCCGTGCTGCTCCTCTGGGGAAAACAGGGCTGAGCAGGGAGCGTGGAGGTGGGGATGGCACGGCTGGCCCTGGCAGGGTGTCCCCAGGGGCTGGCTCCATGTGCTGCTGTCCCCTCTCAGGTGGATGCCGTCTGTCCCCAGGCGAGCGGACGAGCGGAGTGAGGACTTTGCGCTCCGAGTTCAGGAGGTAGGAGGGGCTGTGGGACAGGGATGTGTGGGACTGCTGCGCTTTGGGGTGGGCACGGGGCAGAGCAGGGTGCAGGCCGAGGTGCAGAGGGCATTTCTGGATGTCTGTGTGTCATGGGAGCTCTGGTGCATTGTTGGCTTTTTGATTGTTTGTTTGTTTTTGTTAAGGTTGGGATTGAAAGGGTTTGAGATAGCATTTCATGTTTAGACTTAGATGTTTATTTTTTTCATTTATGCTATACTTTTAAAGTAGTGAGTTTTGTATTGTTTTATTACTAATTTATAAAATGGTTATGTATTTATTTTTTATACTTTTTTTAAGGAAAAACTAATTAAGAAATTATACTTAAATTATTTCTATCTAAATAATTAACTACTTGTGTTTTGTAATGTGGACTTTTTTGTTTAATTATAAAATTACTAAAACTGTGACTTACTTATTACTACTATGAATTAAAATTACTACTTAAACTACACTACTTAAGCTTACAAACAAGGACTAATTTTTGTTTTTAAACTTTTAATTTGTTATAGATATTATTATAGTCTAAAACTTTAAACTCTAAGTTTTTTATTACGTTATATTACACACTTCTAATTAAACTGCACACTCATAATCTTAGTTCTGTTATTTAATTTTAGAAGCTTTCTCTACGGCCTCAGGTCAAATGCAGTGTTCTCTGGGGGGCTAGAGTCTGTGAGCACAGAAAGTCTAAAACTCTCAGCATCTAGAACTCCAACAGAACATGTTTATTGTCCCTTGCAAGACCTCAGTTATTTCATGGCCTGTTTGCCACCCCACATTGAGCCTTTCTACAGCTGTCAGGGCTTTTCCCATCAATCTCAAACCTTTCACCCCCTTTTTATAACGCCACAAATCATACAAAGCAGTTGTTTCTCCACCCTGCCCATATGTGCTGGGTATTTGACAGCTCCAGACATCTCATACCTCCTTGTCAGCCTATTTTGGCAGGATAATATTTCTATTCCTGATCATTCTCGTGCCCTCTGCAACACTGAAATGCTTCCCAGAGGCCCTGGAGAAATCAGCTCCCAGCCCTCTTGCCCTGCCCATGGCTCCATGTAGCCCTGCCATGCTGCCCAGCCCCAGGGGCTGCGTGTGCTGTGTGATTTATGTGTGATTGCTCTGTGCTGCACAGCTCTTGGCCGTGGAGCTGGGTGTGGTATCCACACGGATCACCGCTGCCGACAGGACGGAGCACATGAAGAGGCTGAGGCACACGGCACAAAGGCTGCCCTTTGCTCCAGGTGGGGATCCTGGCTGTGAAAGCTCAGCCTGGGCTCTGCTTTTTGGGGGGGGGTCTCTGTCTGCTCTCAGTGACAGACTCACCCTGTGCCCTGTGCTGTCCTTTCTCCTGCAGCCTCGAGCCAGCGCCCGGCAGCCCGGCCCAGGCTGCCCCCCAGCCTGCCCGGGGGTGCTCCCGAGGACGTGAGGGTCGTGGCCATGGCACAGCAGGTCAAGGAGGTGCTGCCTCACGTGCCCTTGGAGGTCATCAGGACAGACCTGGGTGAGCAGGGGTGGCAGCAGGGACGTTTCTGTGGTCGGAAAGAAGAAACTTTATCACCACTGCGCTGCTACACATTGACAGCCAGGATGGAGTGTCCTCACCTCTAATGGTCCCTTTGTCCCCACAGTCCAAACCAACTGTGTGGACACCACCATTGCCAACTTGCTGGAGGGGAGAGTTCAATTCTTCCCTGAGAGTAAAGAGCCTGGAGACCTGCCTGCCCCATCTACCTCCCAGGCTGCAGCTGCTTCTGGCATCCAGGGCTCCGTGGCTGCGCCTTCTTCCAAGGTAATTTGGGCTTGTGTCTCCCTGCTCTGCTGGCCCGTGTTCAGGACTAGCCAGGGGCATGGAGCACCAGCCAGGTCCTTGCAGAGCCACCAAGGAGCCTTCATGTGTCTCCTGATGGCTGCTGTGCTTTCCCTTCCAGCCGGCTACCAAGCAGTTTGCAAAGTCCCCCGTGGAGCGTCACCTGTCCCTGCAGGAGAGGAAACGAGCCTTGTACGACTATGCCAGGAGGTGAGAGCCCCCCACACCTCCCCGTGCCAGGGCCACACCAAATCCCCCCCTGCCCAAGCCCCCAGATCCCGGCCCCAGCAGCACCCGAGGTCCCCCAAGCTTTCCAGTGGGCTTTCCAGTGTCCCCCCCCGTGGGACTGGGTTTCTCTGGGGTGCCACTGGCACCGTGGCACCCTCGGTGTGGGCAGGACGTTCCTGTTTGGCACCAGGGACAGCTCTGTTAATGCTCCTTGGTGTGAGGGCACAGGGAGTGAGTTTGATCTCTGTGCAGGCTTTTCATGAGGCAAATCCTGGCACAAGAGGCCGGTTCTGGTGTGTGGGTGTTGGTTTAGGAAGACGCAGCAAACTGAGGATGTGTTTGAGGGGAGGCTGAGTGTGCCTGGGCTTGTTGGGCACCGGATGGCTGCGGTGGTGCTGAGGGAACTGTCCTGCTGGGAATTCCTGGCTGGGGTCTGCTGGGGCACGGGGGTCCTGTGGGTGATCCTGGGGGTCCGTGAGCTGCTCCGGGCAGCGCCTCACTGCCCTCACTTGGTCCCTGCTCCGCCGGGATTGTCCCCAGCAGGGACTGTACCCTCCCCGAGCAGCTCCTGCTGCCTTCACCCGTCCCCCTGGGCTCCGGTGAGCGTGGAATGAAGCAGATCCGAGCAGAGCATGCAGCCAGGGAGAGCCCGGCCCTGGGCTGCTGCACAGTCCCCGCGTCCCGGTTCCCCGGGGCTGCTTCCCGGCCGGGCGGGCGATCCCCGGGCGGGTTGGCGGGAGGCCCCTCCGGTGGTCCCCGCCCGCGGTGTCTGAGGGAGGGCGCTCTCTCCCGCAGGCGGTTCGCTGAGAAGCACGGCGTGGCAAGGGCCGGCGGCAGCCCCTGACCGGAGCTCCGGGCCGGTGGCAGCCCCTGACCGGAGCTCCCGGCCGGGCCGGTGGCACCGGGAGCGCGCGGGCGGAACGGAACGGGACGGGCGGGGCGGGGGCGCCCCCTGGCGGCGGAAATAAACGGCGGCAGCGTCCGGCGCGGCTCGGGCTGTGCGGGCACCGGGGCGAGGGGCGGGGACAGGGGGCGGGGACAGGGGGCGGAGCCGAGCCGGCTCCGTGCCGCTCTGCACGCGCCGCAGCCGACGCCTGCTCGCGCGCCGCACGTAGGCGCCGCTTAAAGAGGCAACGCGGCGGGGCAGCCGCGGCCGGGCGAGCTGCGGCTCGCGGGCCCCAGCGGGCGGAGCCAGCGCCCCTTTAAGAGACCGGCTCCCGGTGCCGGTGGTTTTATTTACATGGGGGCTCGCGGGCGTCACGTGACTGTCAGCGGCGGGGGCTGCGCGCGGAGCAGCCGCGGGGCCATGGCGGGAGCCGGCGACGACGGTCCGGGGGGAACCGGGACACCGGGCGGGATCGGGGCCATGGGAGGGCCGGGGGACCGGGGGTTTCGGGGCACCGAGGGGTTTGGGACAATGGGACACCCGGGCGGGCCGGGGAACCGGGGATTCGGGACAGTGGGGAGCCCGCGGGTGAAGGGGCTGGCGTGCACACGTGGGGGTCGGGGTCACCGGGAGCCCCGGGTGGTTGATGTGCACCGTGGAGGGGGAGCGGGTCCGTGGGGAGCCCAGGCGGGGTTTCTGGGGGGCTGACGTGCGCCGGGGAGCACGGGGATCCCGGGCAGGCTGGAGTGCACCAGGGCTGGGGGCTCCAGGGGGCTGATGGGCACCGCGGGGGCGGGGGCAGATGCTGGTCCCGGGGTGCACAGGACATCCCGGGGCAGGGGTTGGGGTGCAGGGCTGGGCCTGGAGCGGCGCAGGGGCTGACAGCCCCCCCAGGCTCCTGGGTGGAGCTGCGCTGTGGCCCAGGCTGCCCGGAGCCCGAGCCGGCGCCTTCGCCGTTCTCCTGCCACGCCGACGTGGAGCGGATGCTGCTGGAGGCCCAGCTGGAGACAGAGAGCAGTGACGGGTGAGTCCTGAGGGGGAGCCGGGCACCACAACCCTGCTGAGGCCACAGCCTGGGCTCAGCGACCGAGGGTTTCCGTTTGCAGGGCCCTGCTCGTGCTGGGCTCCCCGGCCTGGGATGACGACGGAGCCAGCCACGGCAGTGACCAGCCAGGGGAGAGCGAGGTGCTGCCTGCCCACAGCCAGCCCCAGCCGGGCTGCCCCCACCCCCGGCAGGTGAGGGAGCTGCCCCTGGCACACCCTGCGGTGCCCCAGGCCCTGCTCTGACCTGCCCTGTGTCTCCTTGCAGAGGGATGTGCCACAGGAAGCCAAGTGGAGGCAGCGACGCCTGAGAGCGTCCCTGGGCTGGGCCTGTACCCGCTGCCCTCGGTACCTGTCCCCAGAGTAAGTCCTGTGTCCCCATCAGCACATCCTGCTGCTGCCCCCCATCCTGCTCTCCCTGCGTCCCTGTTAACCATGAACTTTTCCCAGGGAATTTGCCTTTGTGTGCTCCCCCCAGCCAGTGCTGTGGAGCCTGCAGGGAGGTGCAGTGGGGAGGAAGAAGAGACTGTTCAGTTCAGAGCTGCTGCTGCTCTTCATCCCCTCGCTCCTGCTCAGCCACCTCCTGACTCTGGGGCTGGGGTGAGTGTCTGTGGCTCTCACCATGGGGCTGGGGGAGGAGGGAACACCCCTGAATTTGGGCTGCTCGTCCTTGGGTGCTGTCACCACTGCTCCCAGCAGCTGCAGTGGTCTGCTGCCATCTCCCCTTGCTCCTGGCCTGTGGGGCCCAGCACCCTGTACCATTGCCTCACAGTCACTCTCTCCAATCCAGGATCTACATTGGGAAGCGCCTGGCAGCCTCCTCAGCCAGCCCTCTGTGAGGAGCTGGGCAGGCAGCACCTTCTGCTCCGCTGGGAATGCAGGGAGAGCCCAGCCCCGTGTTTGTCTCTCAGCCCTGCCTCGGGAGCTGATCCCACATCCCCGTAGAACAGAACCCCCTGATGGCAGCTCCCAGCTGCAGGCAGCCCCTGCCCTCCCCAGCCCCTGGTTACGGGTCCAGCTCCCCCTGTAACAGACTGTAAATACAACTGAGCCCACCTGAATAAAGAGCCCTGTGCCAGCTCAGGGGTTGAGCAGCGAGTCCCCTCCCTGTGTTGGGAGCACAGCCTGGCTTGGGAAGTGACCACTGGGCTCCCTGGGGCCCTTCCCTGTGCTTTGGGGTGGTGCCAGCTGGGGATGAGCTCCTGGGTGGGCTGTGGGCAAGCAGGGGTGGGTGCTGGGGCTCCCACGGGTGCTCAGCCCCACGCAGGTGCCCGGCTGATGAATTTGCCCTTTATTATCCGTGGCTGCAGTGCAGAGGTGGGAGCTGAGCGTGGCATGGCCAGTCAGGGCAGTGACACCTGCCTGCTGTGGGCAGGAGAGGTGACACCACAGAGCATGAGGCTGCCAGGGCCTGTGCATGCCCCTGGCTGGCTCCTGTGCAGTTCAGGCCAGGAATGGGTCCTGGTGCTGTGGGATGGGGTGGGAGCTGGCCCACGAGTGGGGAGCAGGAATCACACAGAAATGCCACTGGGGAAGTCACTGCTCCCTGCCAGGCACAGTTCGTGGGCAGCTCGGGTGGAGGGAGAGGTGCCTCATGGCTGGGAGGGGCTGCATGTGTGGAAGCTCAGCATGGCTGCAGAGGCACGGCAAGCATCCAGGGCCTGGTGGGTCCCAGCCCCAGGGGACACCTGGAGCTGTCCAGAGCTGGTGGGACACGGTGGCAATGCCTGGTGCACACAGGGACTCTGCTCTGGGTGTCGGTGCTGCAAGAGCTGCTCCAGCAGGTGAGAATCAAGCAGGGCTGGCTGGGCACAGGGGCACTGCGCAGGGGTGACCCCAGTGCAGCTGCAGGTGACATCAGGTCAGAGCTGTGACAGTCGCTTGGACTTGGGTGGCGGCAGCGGCGGTGACTTGAGGCTTCTGCTGCCATCCGCTGTCGGGGACGTGGACGCCTGCGAGCGGAGAGGGACGTGAGGGGTGGTGGCACTGGGGCCAGGGCCAGCCCCGAGTGCCTCCCCTGCAGTTCCTCCCCTGCAGTACCTTCCCCGCTGCTGCAGCGTCGCTCTGCTCCAGGAACGTCTCGTACACCGCGGGGCTGAACTTGCGGGGCAGCGGCGGGAGCTTGCTGGCGCTTTTCACGCGGCCACCAAAGCCCGTGGGAGACAGGGACGAGCCTGTGCAGGCAGGAGAGGTGGGGTGGAGGCTCAGCCAGCCCTGGGGGTGCACGGGGCCCATCAGTGTGCCCGCTGCTTCTGCCTAGGGGAGCGTGGCGGTGCTGGGCAGAGGGGATGGGTGCCATGGCGTGTGAGCCCAGCCAGGAGCAGGGGGCTGGCTCCCACCAGGGACAGCTCCTGGCACCAAGACTCAGTGGCACAAGGTCCAGGATCAATGGCTGCGGCCCCACAGGGAGTGTTCAGCAGGGGACGTGCCTGTGCTCCCGCTGTGCCACCACGAGGGGGTGAGGGGACCTGTGCTGGGGTGGTGTGGGAGGCTGTAGGGACTCAGGAAGGTGGCCTGGCAGGTTGTACCTGCAGCGCTGGGCTGAGCAGCAGCTTGGCTTGGCGGGGGCTGTTTCCTCTCAGCGCTCAGGCTGCTCTCGCTCATGCTGCAGGAAAGTCTCCGCTTCTCGTCCTGGGGCACAAAAGGAAGGCTCAGCACCTCGGAGGGCCAGGCTGGGTTGGCAGCTCCTGCAGCCCTGAGTCTCCAGCCCCTGCTCCTGCCCTCCCTGCAGCAGGGGCTGCCACCAGCCCCTCGAGGGGTCCCATCCAGGCTGGGAGCTGGTGCTGCAGCAGGGCCAGGAGCTCTGGGTGCGGCAGGACACCCAGGGGAGTGCGAGCAGGGCCCCAGGGTGGCTCCAGGGCTGTGCTGAGCATCACCTTGGGCTCTGGCAGCTCCGAGATGGACTGGCACGAGTCCGGCCGCCGAAGATGGAAGATGGAGCTGGCGCGGTTCTCCTTGCGCTCGTTCCTGTGCTCCTCGCTCTCGGAGGGCCGGCGGGCAGGCTTTGGGGTCGGGGGTGCCTCCGTGCTGTGGGGTGACTGGGACAGGTGAGGGGCAGCAGGGGAAGGAGGAGCAGGGCTGGAGCATCACCGGGAGCGGCTGCACTCAGGCGTCAGCAGCATCCACAGCAGAGCTCAGCAGGGGAGGTTTGGGGGACAGGAATGGGTGGCTCAGGTGACAGCAGTGTCCAGGTGAGCCTGAGGGCTGCACAGGGCGTGTCTCTCCTCCATGCCCCCCACAGGGACAGGGCCACCGTGGTGACTTGGCAGGACAGACCCCTGAGATGCACTTGGCATACTGGGAAGGTGGAAGGGCAGAGGACTGGGGAGGTGGGAGAAAAGCACCTGGGCCAGAGTGAGGAAGGCTGAGCAGGGGGTGATGAGAGGGGATGAGCAGCACTCCCCAGTGCAGCACTTGCCTGGCTCCAGCGTGGCTCAGCTGGTCCCAGTCAGGTACCCAGGCTATGGAGCGGGGTCGGCCACTCCGCCGGTCCTCGACAAACATCTGAGAGACAGCCAGGAGGGATGAGAGGGCAGAAGAGACAGCCAGGAGGAATGAGAGGGCAGAAGAGACAGCCAGGAGGGATGAGAGGGCAGAGCCTTCCCAGTCATTCCCTGGGCTCAGTGCCCTGTCTGACCAGTCCTGCTTCTGTGCCACCCCAGCAGTGCTGTGCCCCCTCCCCTCCCGGGGCAGGCAGGCAGCCTGAGATCCCCCATGCCCAGTGCTCCTCACCCCGTTCTGCCCCAGCTGTGGCCTCGGCCAGCTGCTCCCTGCTGCCCCACATCTGCATCGGCTTGCCCAGTGTCACCCCCACGGTGCTGGCCCTGCCCAGCCCTGCCTGCCCCGTGCCCCCCGCACTGGCACTCACCATCTCGCGCACCCCGTACTGACTCTCCACCTTGGCCCGCAGCTGCTCGAAGCACTGCTCCATGCGCTCGTGGAAGGGCCTCAGGTCCTCCGTCACCTTCTGCCCGTGGATCCTGATGCCCTCTGCCAGCAGCGGGATCTGAGGGACAACGGGGACTCGTGGGGCTCCCTGGCACCGGGGGCAGCTGTCCCTGCCAGGGGGATGCTGCACCTGGTACCTGCCAGGCGATCAGATCCTTCAGCTTCTCGATCTTCCCTGCGTCCTCAGGGTGCTCCTGCATGTAGAGCTCCTGGAAAAAAGCCTGCAACGACCTTCCTCAGCCCTCAGCTCCACACAGGCTGGGGATGGCAGAGGGGTGCCACTGCTAGTCCTGGCTGTGCCCAGCTGGCCCCAGCACAGCCTCTGCATTCCTCACCTTCTCGTACTTGGTGAAGCCACCCATGACTGCGGGGTCCACGATGCCGTTGAGCAGCATGGAGAGAGGGTTGATGGGCAGGCTGGGGTCGTTCTGGTGCCTGTTGATCTCACTCATGATTTTCTCGTTGGTTTTCATCATGGTCTCAATGGCGTTCTCCAGGGGGGAGATGGTGATCTGTGTGCAGGGAGGGGTCAGTGCTGCCCCTCTTTGTTAAGGATGGCAGGGTGGGCTCTCCCCAGCCCAGCAGGAGGGATCCCTGGGGCTGCACATCTCACCCCATGAAGCCCCTCAGACCCCTGGCACCAGGGGATGTGCTGGCCATGCTGGTCCCTGCTCCCAGCACAGAGCCAACCCCATGGGCACGAGGCAGCAGTGAGGCCACAGGGGAGACCTGGGTGACCACTGGTGTGACTTTGGGGGTGCAGCTGTGCCACAGTGGGGTGCACAGCCTGAGCACCACGGCACACACACATGCAGCACTCATGCAGCCATACATCCTTGCACCTGCAGCATCCTGCAACAGCTCTGCCAGGGCACCCTGTGACAGCCCACCAGGCCACATCACATCTCCCCTGCCATGGCTCCTGACACTCCCTGGATGCTGGCCAAGCACCTGCCCCTCACAGAGGAGGAATGCCCACGCACAGAGCAGTGGCAGCAGCTGCTGACACCCCTCCAGCGCCTCTGCCGCTGCCCACACACTGTCCCTGTGCCCACGGAGCATGGCACAGGCAGGACACGCTCCCCATCCCCAGCTTGAGCTCCTGGCAGGGCTGGAGCATCCACCAGGGTCCTGGGAGGGCCCTGCTGCCCCCCAGCCCCCTCCTCACCGTTTCAGTGGAGGTGACAACGAACCAGCGCAGGATGCCAGGCAGGGGATAGGCTGTCCTGAAGGTTGTCCTCTCAATCCACATGTTCTGTGGGAAGAGCAGCAGTCACTCCCCACACCCTTCTCCCATCACCCCTGGCTGCCCCATGACATGGGGGGCTCACACCTCCATGGGCACAGGACCGGGGATCCCCTGTCTCTCCTCTGGCCCCTTAGGTCCTTGCAGGACCCCCCCAGCTGAGGGTCCTGGCAGCTCCTCCCTGCACTCACTGCAAATTCATTGTCGGGATCGCTTGGGCCCCTCTTGAAAGGCCGTGAGTAGCTGAACCTCTGGACATGGTTGGCTTTGTAGAAGCTGTGGGGAGGGAAGGGACAGAAATGGGACAAGACCCCCGTTGTGTCCCACCCACCCATCCCCAGGGAGCAGAGCAGGACACTCACTTGGTGATCTGCTCCGGGATGCTCCGGCCCTTGAGCCGCACCTTGGCTTCCTCCGCCGGCTGCACGGTGAAGCACTGGATGTCTGAGGGAGTGAAGGAGCCACAGGCACACACTGCAGGGCAGGGCTGCTGGGGACAGGGGCTTCAGAGCCCTGAAGGGTGAACCCCAGGGCGACAGAAAGGCATTTAAGGAATTCCCACGTGGAGAGCGATGGACAGAGAGCAAGCCACGCTCCCAGCCCCGTCCCCGTGCACACAGAGGATACACTGCCCTGGGGAGTCAGTGATGTCCTGGCCAGGGGGAGATGTGCTCTTCAGCTTCTCAGCATTGGGGAAGGGGCTCAGCAGCTGCATCTCGAAGTCCTCACGCCGCTCGTACTCCTTGCCCCGGTAGATGAAGACCTTGTTCTGCAGGGTAGGAAGGTGACAGCTCATCCCTGTGCCACAGAGCAGGGCCAGCGAGCCCCAGAGCATTGGGATGCTGGTGCTGGTAAGGCTCTCCTG